GGGGACGGTGTGCAGGGCCATGCCATAAGGCCGTGGTCCCCAACTCGGTGCCCGCGGGTGCCATGGCACCCGCAGGGGCATTTAAATGGGCCAGCCAGGTGCTCAGGGCTGGCCTGGCCTCAGGCACATGGCGCACGGTGAGTGCCCGCCCTGGGCGCGCGGCGCTTGGCAGGGGGAGTGCTGGTCCCAGGCGCGCAGCCCTTGGAGGGGACACCGGCCCCAGGCGCGTGGCTATGGGGGGGCCCCGCCCCCGGGCATGCGGCTATGGGGGGGGCGCCCCCGGGCGCGCAAGTGTCCCCGCCCCCTGGCGCCCAGCGGGCGAACGGCCACGCCCCCTGGCGCCCGGCAACCTCAAATGGTTGGGGACCACTGGTCTAGACAGTACTGGGTCCTGCCATGAGGACAGGGGACTGGACTCCATGACCTCTCGAGGTCCCTTCCAGTCCTAGTGTTCTATGATTCTCTCCTGCCATCCTATGTCCCCCTACCGCCTCTTCCTGCTGTAGCCTGGTGAGTCTTCCTCCGGAGAGGAGCTCGTGAAATAGCCTTCTAGCAGGCCCATTTGCAGAACCCTGAACCTGTGAGGGAGTCATTCCAGTGGGAAAGAAGCCGATTGACTAGTCCGTCCTGTCAGTCATTTACTGCGAGTCGACAGGACCTTGGTTTAAAATGTGCCTTACAAATATTTCATGCGTGTGTTCCTGAAGATGATAAAATCACATCTCTTAAAAAGTCGTCCCTGTCCCCCAGCCTGCAACTGGGCATAAGGGCACCAGTTTACTAGTACGGCGCAGGGTGCCGTAAAGCTTACGGATGGCCCAGGCATTGTGGGATTGATTCACAGGCATTGTGGGATTGATTCACATCAGGTGTTGGCTGCTGCAGGAGGTCGCTTGACTGGGCCAAATCTGGTATGGAGAGTCTTGTGTGGAAGGAGTTAGCCCGCTAGTGACGCTGTTGTTTGAGTGCCTGTCCTATGAGGCCCAAAGAACCCTCTTCTCCTATTGACTTGAACACCCTGTCCTATTGTCTGAGGCCTGTATCCTCCTATGAACCGCCTCCCCTTTCTCATCATGGCTTTTCTGGTTGCCCTGCGGTTTTCCTTAGGGAAAGGGGGGGAGAGCTGGCTTGCAGATCAGCTACCCTCCTTTGCCAGATGGCACGGTGTGAGCCATGGTGAGCTGTGACCTGGGCGGACGCACCCAGCGCAGGTTGGTTTAACCACCTCCTCTTGCCCAATATCCTGAGCAGAAAGGGGATTGCAAAACGCTTGCTTGCAATGTGGGAAGCGTTCAGGGGCCTCTGCAAATTCTTCCTCCTGTGGCTGGATGGGGGCTGCTTGTGGCTCGCTGCCTTTCCTCCGGCCCGCTGTTACGGAGAAGGGATCTGGTCTGGCGTGAGGAGGGGCGGGGCCAGGGCAGCCTCTCCCCACCGGGGCGGCTTGGGAACCTTCCCCTGGTTGAAAAGGGCCTGAGAGCCGACTAGTGCTGTGTGCCGAACTTTGGGGGCAGTCGGCCAAAGTGTGGGGCCCATCTCCAGTGCCGCGATTGGTAAATTATAAGGGCAAAAGGGACCCGGGGGATCACCTCCCCTCCTGTCTAGCACTGGCCACAGGTTGAATCAATTCCTGCTTGAACCAGAGCAGAGCATCCAGGAAACCAGCCAGTCTTGATGTAAAACCTGTAAAACGTACCACAACCGCCCCCGGTCGGCTCTTCCAGTTCACAGCCTCTGGGCTTCATGTCACCGTGGAACGCCTGGCCAGATTGCACAAGGGTGGGATTCGGTACCTCTAGAAGCCGATCAAATACAAACGGAGAGTGGACATGGGCAGAGGAGAAACAGAAGGCCTGGGAAAGAGGATGGAGAGAGGCTGTTCTTATGGGGGCAGATGGCAGAACGAGGAGCAATGGGCTCATGTTACAGTGGGGCTGGTCTAGGTTGGATATTAGGAAAAACTATTTCCTAGGAGCGTGGAGAAGCACTGGGATGGGTTCCCTAGGGAGGGGGTGGAATCTCCATCCCTAGAGGTTTTGAAGTCCCGGCTTGACCACGCCCTGGCTGGGATGATGGAGTTGGGCTGGTCCTGCTTTGGGCAGGGGGCTGGACTCTGACTCCTGAGGTCTCCAGCCCTGATTCTCAGACCAGTCCATGTTAATCGGAGCACTGCCAAACTCCGCTTCCCTCCGTGGGATCTACAGCCCCCTCCTCCAGCCCTTGGCTGAGCCGTCAGCGGGTGAACTCTTCCGGTGTGCCCCCTCGTTCCTCGCGGCGCTCCCCCGGCGTGAGTGCGGGGCGCTGCGTGAGTTCCGTCGCGCTCGCTTCGAGGCGGGGGGGGAAGCTTTGGGG